TTATTATTATTATTATTATTATTATTATTATTCATTTCCCCTAAAAGCAAAGCGATAGCCACTAAGATGCAGGGAGGGTTACTGTGTGCAAAAAAATCTGAAAAAAAAAATCATTATTAAAAGTAGGATGACCGAGGTGTCGTTTTCGATACCTTCAAATTTTCAACAAATTCCTATGGAATAACTAGTTTTGGTTCGATGCTGAGGCTTATGGACAATTATTGAATTTTAGCAAAGATGCTTAACAGACTTAATTCTTTAAAAATATATTCAGTGGAATAGCTGATATTTGAGGTTTTACCTAGAATGGCCGAGGTGTCGTTTTTGACACCAAAGCTATTTATAGGGTAAATGTATTGAAAAATTTCTCAGAAGCAATAATACTTGTGTTTATGTCCCCTATCTATCTATTTATCTATCTATCTATATACACACACACATAATTTATATATATATATATATATATATATATATATATATATATAAACTGCAAAACTAGGTAATCCGTATGGGTAGACCCAAGGAGGATGATATCCGGAGAGCTCAATGTAAAATTCAGAGCCGATATGTTTGAATAAAAACAGACCACTTTAAGGTTCCATGTAATAAGTTATTTTTACAACACTTTTACAGGGCTCTGGATCTGAAGAAACTTCCACGTTTTGAAATGAAAAAAATTCACAATTTTGACGTCAAAAAACGTTTTCATTTCAACCTTTGGAAGTAAAGTCTGATGATCCAGAGCCCTGTTAATGGTGAAATAACTTATTACATGGAACCTTAAAGTGGTCTGTTTTTTTTATATATATATATATATATATATATATATATATATATATATAATCACTTTCTTACAGTATGAGATATACTAATATTTATGAATTTCTTTTCAGACTTGTTATTCCTGACTTGAATATTGAATATATTAGAGATTGCTGCTTCACGGCGTAATGTAAATAAAGATATCAAAGGAGCTGGCTATCCTAGTGTTAAGGAGTGAGGCGGACAAAAGAACAGAATTCAAGGAGACAGTATAAAACGATTGGCATTGCATTTAATTTTTTAAAAGATAAAAGCTGACTGGAAAAGCAAGATGACGAAGGATAGTTCCACAAGCAGGATTTGCAAGAGAAACTGTCAACTTACCTTCGTATCTAACAATTTCAACAGAAAAAATGATGAGACCAAGGTTCAAATCTAGTCTTTTCTTTTTATGTGCCGTGTCCTTTCAGGACGTAGGCGATCATGGCTCTCCACTTCCCCCACCCTTTATGGCTCTGAATAAGTTTCCTCCTTCTGCCACCTCCTCCAGACCACGTTCCTTCATCCACTTGCTCAAGCCCGCCAGGTATGTCATGCGTTGCTTTCCCTTGTCTCTCTTTCGCCTCTATTCGACCTGTGAGTATCAGATTCTCCAGGCCCTCCTTTCTCATTACGTGTCCCAGAAATTTCATTTGCCTCTTCCTTATGTTAAGCATAAGAATCCTCCTTGTTTGCATCCTCTCCAAGATCTCATCGTTGCTCACACGCTCGGTCCATAATATCCTCAGAATCCTTCTGTAGAACCACATCTCCGTCGTTTCGAGTCCCTTCTTCATCTATGAGAAGACTGTCCAACACTCGTTGCTGTAAAGGAGGACACTTGTCATGTAACAGCTCAATACTCTTTTCTCTGTTACCAAAGAAATCCTTCTGTCTCGCAATACTCTGCCCAGCTCTTGGGGTGTGTCCTTGGCCATCCCAATACGTCTATAGATCTAAGTGTCGCAATGACTGTCCTCTGTCAAAACACTCCCCAGATATTTAAACTTCCGCGCCTGCTTGATTTTAGTGTTCCCGACCTGCAAATCGCATTTCGGCCTCATCTTTTTACTGGTGACCATTTATTGTCTTCTTGTAGTGTATGCTAAGTCCCTCTTTCTCGCTCTCCTTCGTTTTATAAACGCCATAAAAGGGATCACACGGGGAAGTACAACAGCAGTCAACAGGGGAAGAGACATGTCACGGTCAGTCAGCAGCAGTCAGCAGGAGGAGCACCACGCCAACCAGTTTGAACTACTATGTGAGATCAACCCAGACCGGGAGCCGGCTTATGAACTATACCGCAAGGTAGCTGTCCCAAACCCACACGTTCCTATTGAAATAAATCACGTAAATCTATTTCTGCTGTTGTCGTATTTCCTTCTTGCAACTATACGCTTGTCTATAACAATAGCTGCACTTGGAAAAGCGAAAGTTGTTATATAGGAATGAAGTGTCCCAGCCGACACTTGAGTTTGAACATAGATCGCCAGAGAGCAAACACATGCGATCCTATTGCTGGATTAAGTAGACCACATGACCATAGAAGAAACGCACATATAGTAAGTCGTGAGACGTCTAAATGTTCTGCATTTCTAGTCTATCCTCTATTAATATTCGGATCACCATTTCTAATCTATCCTCTATTCTTCTCCGCTATTCTCTACTGTATTCACTTTACTATTTCTTTATACGAATTACTATTCGGTGGTTATTGTACGAGTGAGTATATTAGTACTTTTAGTGCGAGTGTTATTCGAAAGCGTCTGACACTAGTATTGTTTAACGGCGTTACTATAGTTGTATCTTCGTTTATACAGTCTTTATTACAATGAGCATTTACGAAATAAGTATGTTAATAGAGAAGAAAAAGTAAATAACGAATGTGCAAGCGACACGTGGCAGATGATTACTGAATTAGAGGCACAGTGAATGAGGATATATGGGAACGATAACGGTTAAGGCTAGGCTTAAACAGGTTAAGATATAGTGACCGTGGAGGCATTACCTTGGGAGTCGGTTCCACAAAGCTCCGTCATCGGAAGAAGCTGTTCAAGTAGAACCTACGTCTCACCAGTGGAACTGGAAAGGGATTCTTGTGGTACGTTGCAATGTACGTGTCATGGCAGATCTTAGTAGTGAAAGTTAGAACTAGTGGAACCAAGGAATGTAGTACGTCTGAACATTTTCCATGGAAATAGTGAGAGGGCAGCCAGTGGCTTGCAACGTTTCGCCTGTGGGAAAGGGGTTGTAGGGTGGAAGATAATTAATCCGCCACTGACTAGAAAGTGAAGACTGGGTACCTCCTGTCTATATATCGCAGCAGTACCCCATTTTCGGCTCTTGCAAAAGTAGAGGACATCAGGTGGTGATTTAGGTGTCTTACGGCTATATCACTTTGAAACATCGTACAATCATCGTAGTTAAGCAACGTTAAGACAGGTCAGTACCTGGAAGGTTTACCGCTTGGGAATACCAGGTGCCATAAGCTTTGATGTGCGGATGGTGTAATGGATAATGGCTCGGAATTGTTAACCGGAGAGCCGATTCCATTTGGGTTCGTTAGATTTGTTTACGCGCAAATACCATTGGGAAAGGCATGAATCCACTTTTTTCTCCCCCAGCTATAGGTTAATTATAATTTTATCACTAAATAATTATTATCTCCAAAAAAATAAAATTTTTACAATCTAAAAATATTTTCTGGATTTAAAAAACCTGCAAAGGATTTAATAAGCCAGAGAAAACGAACCAATCAATTAATCTTGTAATTGTAGAGGATAGCCGAAGGCGTCAGATACTTACTGGAGTGATACATGGAACCTACCATCTTTCCAGTAACTTTAGAGATGGATTTTATGTACGAGTTCCACTTCAGAGGCGGTTTGAGTTTAAGGCCCAAAAGGCACTCAAGTCACGGAACCTCTGGGAGAGAACATCCGGTCACGGCGACAGGCGAAAATTCTGCATCCACTTGAAGGTGATGGAATGTCACTAGTTCGATTTTCTATTGGAAGAAAATAAATAATAATAAAGAAAATGGTGAAAAAGGAATAGGCTAAAGTGAATACGCGAGGGAAGAGAGAGAGAGAGAGAGAGAAGAGAGAAGGCAATATGAAGTAAGAGAGAGGGTAAACGGAGATAAAAGAAAGAGAAAAAGCGAGAGAGAAGTAGAAATTAGAGACAAGTGAGAGAGTAGGAGCTGGAGAAGAAAAAAAAGAAAGATGGAAGAAAAATAAGCGAAATAGAGCGAATAAGAAGATAGAGGGGGGAACAAACGAGACTGAAGGAAATAAGAAGGAAAGAAAGAAAACGGAAAGAATAGAAAAAGATCGCAGAAAGGGGAGAAAAAATGCAAAAGCAAAAATATATATATATATATATATATATATATATAAGAAGATATATATATATATATAGAATATATATATATATATATAAAAGAAGATATATATATATATATAAAAGCATATATATATATAAAAGAATATATATATATATATATATAAAAGAAGAAGATATATATATATAAAAGAAGGAGATATATATATATATATATAAGGCATATATATATATATATAAAAGAAGAATATATATATATATAAAAGAAGAAGATATATATATATATATAAAAAGAAGATATATATATATATATATAAAAGCATATATATATATAAAAGAAGAATATATATATATAAAGAAGAAGATATATATATATATATATATATAAAGAAGAATATATATATATATATATATAAAAGCATATATATATATATATATATAAAAGAAGAATATATATATATAAAAAGAAGAAGATATATATATATATAAAAGAAGAATATATATATATATAAAAGAAGAATATATATATATAAAAAGAAGAAGATAGATATATATATATATAAAATATATATATATATATATATATAAAAAGAAGAATATATATATATAAAAAGAAGAAGATATATATATATATATAAAAGAAGAATATATATATATATATATATATAAGAAGAAGATATATATATATATATATATAAAAAAGAAGAAGATATATATATATATATATATATATATATATATATATATATATATATATATATATATATATATATAGAGAGAGAGAGAGAGAGAGAGAGGGGAGAAAAGAGAATAAGAAAAAGGAGTTGGAAGAAAGAGATAGGGGGTAGCGGGTATAATTAAAAGAAAGCGGAAGTGGGGGATATTGGAAGCAAACGAGTGTAAAAAGAGAGAGACTGAGGTGGAGGAGAATTAGAGGGAGGAAGCGGAAATGAGAGCAAAAGAAAAGGAAGAAAGTGAATGCAATCGTAGAGAAAAAAGGAAGGAGAGAGAAAAGAATTGGTGAAAAGAGAGAGGAGTAAAAACGGAAATGAGCGAATGACAACAAGCGAAGCGGACGAATATGAAAGCAAAAAAAAAAAAAGAGAAAGAAAGAGAGAAAGAGAAAGAAAAAGAGAGAAAAAGAAAGTGTGGGGAAGTAGGAGAGATAAAGGATGGAAATAAATAAAAAGGGAATGAGCAACTGATACTGGAAGTAAACGATAGTGAGAGAGAGAGAGGGGGGTGATAGGGAAAGAAAGCGGAAAGAGAAAGAACGAAGGATAGAAAGTGAATGCAATGATAGAGAAAAAGGAAGGCGAAAGAAAGAGAGGGCGGAAAGGGTAAAAAAAGAGCCAAAGATGAGCGAAGAAAGCGAACAAGAAAACAAACGGAAGAAGGAGAGAAAAGAAAGAAAGAAAGAAAGAAAGAAAGAAAGAAAGAAAGAAAGAAAGAAAGAAAGAAAGAAAGAAAGAGTGGTTAACAAAACGAGTTGGAGTATGCAAATAAACAAAAAAGAGTCCGAGTGTCTGATACGGGAGGTAGAAGGTAGTGAAAGAGAGAATATGATAGTGAAAGAGAGAAGGAGAGCTAAAAAGAGAAAGATGAAAGGTGAGAGAATGAATGCAATCGATAGAGAATGACGCACGGAGAAAGGGGGAGAGAGGTGGAATTAAAGAAAGAGGAAGAAACGGAATGGGCAAAAAAGAACAAGCGAATGGCGGGGAAATGAAAACAAGCGAATGAGAGAAAAAAAAAAGACAGAAAGAGGACGAATGAAAAACTAGAAAGAAAGAAGAGAAAGGAGAACAGAAGTTGAATGCAAACAATCCCTGTGCTTCGGTTCATCCCAGCAGGAGCAGTACAGACAGAGGGCACAGGGGCTCGCTCTCCCACCACTTCTTAGTAGGCCGACCTCCAATCAAGAGACATTTTTATTCTTTCTTTTCCATTGCTCGTAGCCATTCTCGTAATACTATTGTATATTTGGCGAGATTTGTCCACTACTGCGCTGTTTGCGGCAATTAAACCTATAAGCAGGGCCTGTCCTGTTCATCGGTCAATTCAGCTTAATACAAAAAAAAAAAAAAAAATGAAAATAAAAGAAACTCTAAGGCGTTCTATAGTTTTCCTACTCGTTTCATAACAAATGAAATTAGTGAGCAATACAAAAGAATGAGAATATGACACCCGTCCGACAATGAATGCTTTGCATAAAAAGCTGACTGGTCGACCATGAGTAAACTGAATGAATTACCGGCCAGGGTGGGCTGAGTGGCCGCAGACGATTGGCACATCTTTGAAATGTGATGGTGGAAAATGCCAGTTTACAATTTCTGCTATCGTCTCCTGGCTCTTGATGCAAATTCCTCCGCCTCACTGCGCACGAGGAAAATGTGTACTGAGGCGGTGATTGGCTGTTTCTCTTAATATACGAATTTATGTCTTAAACTGCAAAGACTGTACGCATGTTGTTCCTTGTAAGACATACGAAGCTTGCATTGAATTGTATCTTTAAATACATTAGCAGATCGGCCGAAAAGGTGTGTTTAAAATGACCTAGAAAAAAAAGACGAACAAATTGAATGTTAATAACTCTTCTCAATAGTATAGATAGTATATTTTCCGTCTATCCTTATCTATCTGTATATATCTCAATATGTTCAGATCTATCTATCTATCTATCTATCTATCTATCTATCTATCTATCTATCTATCTATCTATCTATCTATCTCGTTAGCTAGCTAGCTAGTTAGTTCAGACTGATCATATTTATCTATCTAACCTCAGTCTGATCATATCTATCTGAATTTGGATGTATGTATGTATGTATGTATCTATCTATCTATTTATCTATCTATCTCAGTCTGATCATATCTATCCATCACATCTATCTATCTATTATATCTATCTATATCTATCTATCTCATCTATCTATTTATCTATCTATCTCAGTCTGATCATATCTATCCATCCTTCTCAGTCAGATCACATCTATCTATCTATCTATCTATCTATCTATCTATCTATCTATCTATCTATCTATCTATCTATCTATCTATCTATCTATCTCAGTCTGATCATATATCATCTATCCTTCTCAGTCAGATCACATCTATCTATCTATCTATCTATCTATCTATCTATCTATCTATCTATCTATCTATCTATCTATCTCAGTCTGATCATATATAGCTATCCTTCTCAGTCAGATCACATCTATCTATCTATCTATCTATCTATCTATCTATCTATCTATCTATCTATCTATCTATCTATCTCAGTCTGATCATATATAGCTATCCTTCTCAGTCAGATCAGTCTATCTATCTATCTATCTATCTATCTATCTATCTATCTATCTATCTATCTATCTATCTATCTCAGTCTGATCATATCTATCTATCCTTCTCAGTCAGATCACATCTATCTATCTATCTATCTATCTATCTATCTATCTATCTATCTATCTATCTATCTATCTATCTATCTATCTCAGTCTGATCATATATAGCTATCCTTCTCAGTCAGATCACATCTATCTATCTATCTATCTATCTATCTATCTATCTATCTATCTATCTATCTGTGAATATGTTTGATTACGGAAAAGGAAATGATCTCGTTAATCGATCTTCGAGTCCAGACAAAAAAAAAAAAATAGACCAAGAATTGTGAAATCACTCTTTTCAAAACTGAACACTGTTACCGTTAGACTTTCCCCCAAAATCAGTATTTAGTACATGCATGTATTTGTAAAATCTGTTATACATATGCTGAAAATATGTTCATCTAAAGTCGACGCGCTTTCTCTGCATTACTAAAATCTGAGATACCCACGTCGACGACGGTCCTGAAAGTTTGGTCTAATTTAAATCAACTGCAGTTGATTTTTTTTTTGTAAATTCTCTAGAACAAAAAAATGTATGAATTCGCTTTCATCATATGTTTATTTTTTATTTATTTTTTTACAATTCTTATCATCGCTCTTTTAAAACAATAAACAGTGCTGAGAAGTGAAAGGAGTTAAAATAAAAACGACGCCATGTGAAAAAAAACGTCCTTTTGACACTTAGAATCTTTTGCGGGTACAAAGGTCCATGTTTGCCAATATTAATAATGTAGATTATTCAGATTCCTTAAGCTTAACTAAGAAAGATGAATATACAGGTAGTGTATTGGTTATGACTACGGAGACTGTGAACCGAATTCAAGTTAACCCGCCGTCAGCTGTTAAGATAGGGATTCGTCTCTTCTGCCACTAGCTTTTGGTTAAACAATAAACTAGGCTCTCTAGCTTTGAGAGGCAGCCAGTCTAAGAGAAAGAGTTCTTTGATTACGAAACTGGGGAAAATGTGACAGGAAGCAACTCCTTTATCATTCCCATAATGTAACGATAATTTACTAATAATCAGTTAGTGATCGACTAAGAGGGTATTACGTATAGTACTTAACGAGGTAGATTTATTCCCGCAGTAGGTTGCCATTTCTTTCTGCGGTAAACTGGTTGTCAAGCAACGTTAAAGAAACCAGCCTGATATTCAACCCATAGCTTAGGGGAGAAGATATGGGTTCATACCTTTCCCAAGGGTATTTGTGTGTAAGTGAACCTAACAAACTCAAGTGGAATTCGAACTCGGATCTCCGTGTTCTCACTCCAAGCTGATATCCATTACACCACAACGCAAACGGAATATATGGAGATTAGCTACCATCGTGCTTCCAATTGGCTAATGTCGTCTCAACTGCTTTATATGCGTGCGAAACTTGGAAATCCACCAAAAAAAATATCTAACACTTTGGTGTGTTCCCTTAAATATGCTTTCGCAAAATCCTCTTGGATGTCTTGGAGAGATAGAATCAGGAACGAGCAAGTGCTAAGACATGCCAATTTTGGAAACCTTAGTGTAATGCTGGCAGATGGGCGGTTACATATCCCCGGCCATATCCACTCGTACAGCTAAAGTTGTTCTAAACCGAATGCCTCAAAGCTAAAAAAAAAAAAACAAACCCAAAAAAAAAAAAAAAAAAAACAATGGGTCATCCAAAAATGACATGGTGCTCTAAGGTTAAAAAAAATTTGATAAAAATAAACACCAACTGGTTCCAGGCTCCACAACTTACCAAAATCGATTTTAGTGGAGGAAAACACAATCATTTATTTAAAGATAGAAAAGGGAAAATAGTCCCTTGAGGAGTGCAAACTCGTTATGATTGCGTTGCACAAACCTCAGAAAACCATCACTTTCCAAACATATGACATTTGGCGAGAAAAGGTTGGACATCATGAGAAATAACCGATTGAGTGATTCTGAAATTAAAGAAATAAAAAGAACTGCAACCAGAATTGATGAATTCCCCAGAATATGAAAAGGAACCAGAAATGGACATAAAAAAGTATTAACATCACACAAATCACAGATCATAATGAAGAAATTGAGATACACACCAATCACTGTAAAAATATAATACTGAACGTTTAGAAGAGTTGGAAAGGCGTGATCTTAGTAGCTTAGAAGCCTACAATAAAACGAGTCCAAAACACACTGGACAGAATTATTTTACGGAAAACAAGAATAGTATAGAAGAAGCCAAGTAAGAAATCATGAGACATATAAGTCAGACACAAAATATTGAAATGTAACAACGAGAACCACGCCTAAAATTAAAACCAAAAAAAGAAGAACCTCAAAACTATTAAACTCTACAATGCAACACTCAAATTAATTCTGGAGAAAGTAGACCCATATATAGGTCTCAATTTATCTATATATAAATCAGCAAAAGCAGCAAGTAAAAAATTAAACATCAAAGTGAAAAAGGAAGTCTCACAGACATTAAAATGCACCTTGGAAAAGAAAAATACAGAAAAAAATTAAACAACTTAGAAGTGAATTATCAATACGCAATGAACTGGCAAGAGGAACAAATGTAAGGACTAGAAAAGGTAGAAAAGTAAAAAAAAGAAGTTCTATCAGCTAAAGAAAAAATAAAACAATCAATACAACTGAAGGCTCAAACCGATGTGAAGAACTTTTACAGGCAAACAAAAAACTGAAGTGGCATCCTCCACCAAAAACTGAAGCGGTTATAAAATTTTGGGAAAATATGGGCTTGCTCTAAAGAATATATGAAAGAAGCAGATTCGATTACGCAAGAGGTAGAACGGATGAAGAATAAACCAAAACAAACATGGATGGGAATCACAGAACAGGATGTTGAATGCACACTGAAAAAAAAAGCACACAAATAGAAATCTCCAGGAATAGATAAAATTCCTAATTTTTAGCTCTATTATCTAAATATAGTAATCAAAACTATCCAAAGAACTTAAAGAAATTGTCAATAATCCTACTAAAATTCCGCCATGAGTAACCAAAGGAATTAACTTCCTTCTACTCAAGAATGGTGGCACAAATGTCCCAAAATCTACCGACATATCTTCCTATTACTTAGAAACTCATATATTCTGATAAAACAGATACATTCCGTCTTAGAAAAAATGTCATACTATCTCTTGAACAAAAAGGGTGCATACGTGGCTGTTACGGATGTAAAAACCAATTACTAATGAATAGAATAATCTTTTTTTCTTTTTTTTAATAAAATTCTGGAATATTCAGGTTGATAGACAAAAATAAAATACAATTTACAAAATAAATGGAGTGTCTACTCAAATATTGGTATCTGCTAAATATAACGTTTAAAGTGATAAAAATATCATATTCTCCTATATATCTTATATTATTTTAAAAACTATTTACTGCATTAGTCTGGAAACTAGACTATTTTTTTTATTCTGGTCCCATGTACGTATCGGACGCACAGGTTAAAAAGGCATTGTATCGCATTCGAATACGAGTGAACTTTCTGTTAAATAAATATTTAATATGAAAGAAAAAGAATATCAATAAGTAATAACGTTTTCATATATCGCCTAGCAGTTAAAACGGTTTGTGTATTTTAGGTACGAGCCACACATTTCAAGCGGCTTTTATTAGACAGTCAGGTCCATCACACTGGAAAGAATTGCAGACGATATTGTACCCCGCCATTTTCCCTTAAGGATTCTTATGATTTACGAAGCAATTATTACTAAATATTAATAACAATTTTTTAACACGAACGTATGATTAAAATATTTTTTGTATAATTACCTTCAAATTAGAAACTGACGATAAATGAACTTTCTACATTTAGCAGCAAAAACAATGGATACATTGATGTCATATTGGCATCACCTAGGCTGAACGTAATCAATAATTCCGTCTCTGAGTTATCGCGCGTGCGCACACG